GGAGGCTGCAGTGAGCTGAGATCATGCCACTGCACTCCAGTCTAAGCGACAGAGCGAGATTCCATCTCAAAATAAATAAATAAATAAAAATAAAGGGAAAAGAAATTTGAACCATGTTTAAAAGTAGAACACTTCAGGTAATCCCTTTCCTCAAACTTACTTTATTCCAGGAATGTTGTGCAAGTATATTTTACACATGGGCTTACATGAAGTTTCAGTCTCTTGAATAGCTGGTCCTCTCTTATGAGTAATTCATAACTGCTTTCACATGTGTATAATCTCATGCTCAACTGTTTCTCTCTATTTTAAGCAGGAGATTTAAAAATCAAATTAACACATATTTCTAGAGCATTTGCTATAAGTGATATGCTGTGCTATATACTAACTAACTACATTTCTGGGTTGATTGGGGGACCAGTTTATAGAACTGGCTGACAAGCAACTGAACTTTAAAACAAATAGCTAGTGCTTAAGTATATGTCAAGTTCAATCCCTCCCATTTTTAAAACTTTGCTGAATTTATATTAAACCAGCATCGGTTATCAAGGTATTTCCTCCTTGTTTTTAGCTAAAACTTCTCTCACTGCATTAAAATACATCCATTATCATTTTCGTTAAATAAGATTACACATTGGATATGTACATAAAAGCAAAATTATATCTTGCATTTTTGTTACATTTGCCAGAAGAATGAAAAACAAACAACAGAAAATCTCTCTGAGCTATGCTGCTCTGTGGCCTGAACTTAACTGTCATAGTGAATATTAATGAGACACAGCAAAGATATTGGCTCAAGGTAACTAAGCCAACATATATTGCTCTAGTAAATGTTAGAAATGGCCATTCATCCACATAACCTCAGATTACTCTGTATAAAGATAATGTTTCTTTTGGTTTTTCTTCTTTTTGTCACACACACACACACACACACACACACACACACACACATCCCCCACACACAGTAATTTAACATTATTTGCATTTACTCAGACTGGTAAAACCCATGTCTCAAAGATGTTTCCCATAGTTTATTCATCCCTCTTCCATGTCGTTTTCATTTGGATGCATTTGTTTAACAAATGTCTGCTGTGTGCCAGGCATGCTGTAGGTACTGGGGATGTAGCAGTGGAGGCAGACACAAGTGCATGACCTTATGGAGCTGACGTTCTGGTGTTGAGTTTATCACATTTTTGATAAGAAAACACAGATAATACAGGAAGACTGCCACTTGCCCCTCGTCCTTGGCACTTATTTCCAGTGGAGTCCTTCATCCCAAAGAGCTCAGACACATACACACACAAAAACTAGGAAATGGATATGTTATTGAGACTCTGAATTCAAAAGGCTTATGAGAACATGAGCAAAGCCTTATCTTTCTATCCTGTTTTATTTTTCACTGTTCAACTCCATCCTATTTCCCTATTTAAAATATACATATTGGCAGGCATGGTGGCTCACAACTGTAATACCAGCACTTTGGGAGGCTAAGGTGGGAGGATTGCTGAGGCCAGGAGTTTGAGACTATGGTGAGTTATGATTGCACCATTGTACTCTAGCCTGGGTGAGAGAGTGAGACCCTGCCTCTACAAAATAATAATAAATAATAATAATAATAATAATAATAATAATAATAATAATTTAAAAATAAGTTAGCTAGGCAAAGCCCAGGACATCAAGGCTGCAGTGACTAGGATTGCACCATTGCACTCCAGCCTGGGAGACAGAGTGAAAACCTGTCTCTAAATATATACATATATATACATATGCATATATAAATTAATATTAATATAAGTTCAGAGTTCATAGTTAATAATTGCCTGAGATTCAATGCCACATTTCCTATTGATACTTTCTAGAAGAAAGGGCAACCTACACTTAACAGTCTCATGTTTCCTTGAGTTGAAATTCACACAGCAAAATTAACCATTTGAGAGTCACAACTCAGTTGCATTTATTGCAGTGTTGTGCAACCACCCCTTCCATCTAGTTCCAGAACTTCTCCAGTGGAATTTTAAAAGAAGGTAAACTTGTAAAATGACCAATAAACTATGTTTGTAGAAAACTAATAATTTTACTTATGGGGAGTGAGAAATTAATAGATTCTCCCAAAGTAAAGCAAACTCACTATAACTATCATATGCAATTAAAATATCTTTCCATATGAAATTCTCACATCTTCATCTTTGAGATCATTTACTGTATCTTCAGTTACAAAGGATCTAAACTCATAAAGAACAAAATGTACCGGAGTAAATTGCTCATCGTGTTACAGAATGAGAACACAGAGCACAGTCAATATCAAGCACTTGATACAGCATCTCACAAAGTAATGCTTAAAATTAAGTCAAATTGTCTGCTCTGAGAACATTTTCACTGGGTAAGAATAATCAGTCTTGACTTACCTTTAAAGTGGGCAGAAAAGACATGCCCAGTAAGGTAAAATAAGTTCCATTCATCTCACCCATTTTGCATCATAAATAATGTAGAAGAACATCAAACAGCACATGGATTTGGTTTGCTCTCAGAGAACTTTTCTGTTTAGCTGGGGAGAGAGGAATGACAAGAAAAAATAGTTAAATATTAGCATATTCCAAACTTTCCCTCCACTGATAGGATCTGTGGTAGCTGAGTTTTGCTAGACCGGGCTAAGTTAATTCAAGGCATATTTTGGAACAATCAGAGGAAATTTGATAAGGAAGTATCTGAATAGGCCATTAAAAGACTTGAAAAAATGGAGGGGAGTATAAAGGGTATGAATAAAGCCTGCTGATCTATTAGAGACCCCATAATCTGTGTAATGCAATCCCAATTAAAAGTAAAACCAAACCAAATGTATGTATTGAATGGATAGCCCAGCTCTATCAGACAATCAAATACTGATAATCTTTGCCGTCAAAGAAATTGCATTCTTCAGCCCTGTATACATGATGTAATTAAATGATGACACATGACTGTGAATATGCCCCAATAAATGTTTCAGTTAAGAAATACTGGGTCTATGATTTGGAAAAATGGGAAGGGCTCTGTCAAGGAGCTGAGACCTAGCTGAGGACATGTTTTTTGGATAGGTGGAGGAAGCTGACAGATCCATTGGTGTACTTTATCCTCCAAAGAAGCTGCAGGGTTTTAAAGTTAACTTTAGGGCCTGGTGCTTTCTTGTGAAAATTATGATTTCATAATTCCTCAGCAAATAAATAAATAATTGCCATTTGTATGTAGGGATCTCCCCAAATGAAACAACTGCTGCCATCATTTTTATTTTATGTTAGATACCATGAAGTAAATTCTACTCTTTTGCCAGCCGTAAAATTTAGGAGCAAGGATAAACTTTTTCAGTGATAGTAGTTTTAGATTTCAGGGATAATATTTTAGAGTTATGTCGCCAAGATACAGGAAAAAAGTCAAAGAGAAAATAAATGAGTAATAAGGTCAAAAGCAAAATGACATTTATCATTCTCTTTCATCTGTTGGAGCTACCGTACATTCTTCTGATGATAAAGTAAATAAAAGTAAAGCAGAATGACTAGCTTGAATTCATAGACTAACTTGAATTGAAGTAGCAGAGAAATTCTAGTATTATTTTATTTGATGATATTACAGGATTTTTTTTCTTGAAGCCAACTTAGAAGGAAGCTGAAATATTATGAAAGTGGATCAGAAATATAAGTATATTTTACTTTATTCTGCCAAATCCCATTCTATATTACCGTCTCTCTTCTTGATCCAGGTTGGTGTACTAGCATTTACTTTCTTATCCTCTGTAGCAGATTAATTGTGGCTGCAAATTCTTTGTCACTTTCTCCCTCAAAATGTATTTCCTCTGTCCTTGAGTCTGGGCTGGCACGGTGACTTCTTAACCAATAGGATGCAGGGGAAATAGTTTGTTCTGCTTTCAGGCACAGACTTTTAAGAGCACTGGCAGCTTGTGTTTTCTTCCTCTTGGGGTGCTTTCTCTCACAACCTGGCCACCATACTGTGGGAAGCTCACGCCACAAGGAGAGGCCACAGGTTGCTGCACCATTTCACAGTGCCGGCTGGCATCCAGCAGCAGCTGCCAGTCATCATGTGTGGGAGCCATTTTGAATGTTTTCACCTAGTTGCACCTCACCTGCAGCACCAGCTGACGTCAAATGGAGCAGAGAAACCACTCAGCTGAACCCAGTAAACCTACAGAATAAAATGGCGATTGCTGTAAGCTATTTCCGGGCGGTTTGTTTCACAGCAATACATAACTGAAATCGCTTCCCAAAGGAAGTCCTGGAATGAGTCCATGGAAGAGCTCATTTGATTTAAATGATAAATAGATAGTATTTAAATGGCCCATGCTTAATTCTTATAATTTCTAAAAATTATTAGGCAAAATTTTAAAAGTCTTATTTTGAAAACTAGATCCTTTTAAGTTTGTTTACAAATTATATTAAGGTAATAATTCCTATTTCATTGTTATCTATTCTGGTTTTCATAGTCTCTTCTTGAAGAGATATGTAATAAATAATGTAATCAAATGCACCCTTTTGATAAAAAAAAACAAAATCAGTATTTTTCAGCAGAAATAGAATGAATCAGAACGTATTCAAATCTTGGCCACATAGCTATATGTCCATGGCAAAATTACCTAAGTTGCCTGGGCCAATGAAATATTTCTTAAAAAAATTCTAAGGCCGGGCGTGGTGGCTCAAACCTGTAATCCCAGCACTTTGGGAGGCCGAGACGGGCGGATCACGAGGTCAAGAGATCGAGACCATCCTGGCTAACACAGTGAAACCCCGTCTCTACTAAAAAAGATACAAAAAACTAGCCGGGCGCGGTGGCGGGCGCCTGTAGTCCCAGCTACTCGGGAGGCTGAGGCAGGAGAATGGCGTGAACCCGGGAGGCGGAGCTTGCAGTGAGCTGAGATCTGGCCACTGCACTCCAGCCCGGGCGACAGAGCGAGACTCGGTCTCAAAAAAAAAAAAAAAAATTTTGACTGTATGGGATTAATGAAGATCAGAAACAATGTGTATTATGAACCTAGCAGAGTGCTTGTCACCTGGGTGGAACTCAATAAAGGTAGCTTTTGTTATTGTGAGGGAGATGGTGATAAAAGGTTTAAAAAGATAGTAAAAAATTGTCTAGTTTATTTTTCTAAGAGGACATGGAAATGGGGTATTCCTGGGCTTTACTGGGGTTGAGCTTAAAGGGTTAAAACGATATATCCTTGCAGTTTTTCCTGCAAACATACATGTTTTATCCAAAGGAAATTCTGACCTCTAACCCCATTCACACTTTCCTTTCTCACTCTTTTATTGCTATAGAGGATTTGATGAAGGGAGAAAGGCAACTCCTGGGTCCTAGTCCCAAGGGTAGAACTAATGGAGAATTCCTTTTATTCTTCACCTCCCATCCTTCTCCATTTCCCCATTTACATTCATTTTCCAATTTGGTGGAAAAAAACAATTTTATAGGAAGCTGGCTGTCTGCAGACTAATCTTAGCACCAAGGTGCCACAGGGTTTCTGGAATGCCTTTCTGGAGGCAAAACAGACACATCCCAAAGTCTGGTTTATGTAGTCCAAGGGAAAGAGTACTTGTGGTAGTCCACAGGATTCTCTCTCTGATGTGTTGTCCTAGTCTTTGTATAAAATGTTGGTTTTCTCTATAAGTGTTGGGTATTTTCGGTGTAACAGCTAGAGCAATGCCCAGTAGCTTTTTTTTTTTTCCCCTGCTGAATATGTTTGTTCTTAATGGTTGAGGTAAGGTGAATAATTGCTATTGGTGTAAGTTAAAGACCACTTTTCTAAACTATGGGTTATCATGCTTGGTATTTTCTCCTATCTGCCTGACTTGGGGCCACCTGAACCCCATTTTGGTCTTTGAAATTTAGCTGACCTTGGCCTTGGATGAAATACTAATGTACTGAGTATAATATTTTTGGTTTAGGTCAAAATTGAGGAATTCAGTGCCATATATTTCAACTGGGTGCTTTTTGAAGAAATTATAAATTACCGTAGTTTAGCATAAACACCTGCTGATACTGTTTCTGAATATTTACATGAATATTGATCATTGAGCTCTTACTATCTTTCAATGTGAATGCTTTAAGTGCTTGTAGACATTTTCTACACTGTGAAATTGTATGTCCGTAGCTAGAATCTTTGTAAGAGAGCTCTCACTGCTTTAAAGTCAAATAAACCTAGAAAATAAGCAGAGGAATTATTTTTAAACACCATTTACTGGTATATAAATGCAGATTATAGAGAGATGAACTTAAGGATAACTCATGTTGCTCATAAAGTTGTCATAGTCATGGTTACAATTATGCAAATTGGCACAGGCTTTTGTTGTTGTTATAGTACTGCAAACACAGTTTAAGATGTTAAGACCCTTTAAATCATTTATAATTATGGACTAATTTCATCTTGAAGGAAGAAGTGATAATATTCTTATCTCCCATCATTTAAAGGTGAAACGTACCTCAAAGCAGTGGAGATTGTGCCCTACAAAAGACAACGTGCTTAAAGCAGATTTTCTCAGGACTTGAGTTCTAAATTTCGCTGCTTCAGGGACTCATATGATGGCTATGTAGTATAGATTTAGAGAGAGTTTTAAAGACTCCTGTTGACATAGGTGAACAGAATGGTTCCTTGGAAACCGTTTAGATGTCCAGTCACAGTAAGTGTGGATTACAGGTTCAGATGCATATTGTGTGAAGTGACATGGAGCAGAGTGCTTGGAGAAGCCTGTGGTCTCTATTATGAACAGTGCTTTCTTCTAGTGTTTTAATGACTGTTGTTTTAAAAGAAAAAAAATCAGCATTGAAACTATCTGGAAGGTAAAGCTCCTGAAACCTAACCCAAAAGGCATGCTCTCATCGAAAACTCTTCTTAGTACTTGCAGTGCGGTGATAGCTGAGGACATGTGGTATATATTACAGTGCCAGGGAATTCAGACCTCTGCAGTGTGGAGTCACCATGAAAGGCTAATCTAAAAATGAAGTGGTAGCTTTGCTCGCATCATAACTCTGTTACTTACTGGTGCTTCCTATTAGCTTGACATTAGTCTAGTCTTCTTTGGGTGAGATAGAAGAAATGGAAATTCAAAGGGGACCACAGCAGGGGATATATGGGCTGCCAACCCCTCCCCTAGCAATCCCTCCAGCCTGTACTCAGCATTTCTCTCTGGGCATGACAAAGTCTTACAGAGTCATTGCAAAAAGGGCTAAAGGCAGAGCTGTCCATGGTTAGGAAAAAAACGTTCAAACTGTTGGTCGAAAATCAGGTAATAACAGTCTTCTTAGTGAACAAAACTTATTAGAGGGCTAGGGAAGGAATGCTATCTCTCAGCAGCAGGCAGGAAGAAATTGCTGTTGAAAAGCTTACCTCTCTAGGGAGGAATCAGATAGCAGACTTCGCCAAGCCTCAGGTCCAACCCATAAGGTCCCACCTACACCCCCCACCCCCCTCCCCATCCCAGCTTTGTTAGATTGCTAGCATCGATCGCTGGCTTTTTCTGACCCAACAGTGGGTGAAGGAAAGAGACTGAAAGCCGGCAAGGTGGGGGTAGAAGAAGACTTGGACAGCTTTTGTAGAGAAAGAAAGAAAAAGGAAGAAAACGGGTGGGGGCCATGGGGACTAGGCTTAACTGATGCCTGCCTGCCTCTTTTTGATTTGATGGCCTTTATTCCTTCTAATTGGATAAAATAGGAAGTCACTGGCAGTCCTGTGTGGCTGGGGATACTGATTTTACTCAGACCAGCCTGCAGCTCTAGAGTGTGGATAGAGAGTGGGGAGTGGGGGGTTGGAAGAGGGGGAGGAAAGAGAGAGAGGAGAGAGAGAGGACGGGCTTGGATGAAGAAGGGAAAGAAAGAGAGAGACTGAAGCAGAGAAGAGCCGCAGAGGAAGAAAGTGAATGAGCACTCAAGAAGGACAAAGAGGAGTAGTCGGGGGTGGGGTGGAGGCAGGGCGGGGAAGGGAGTGACCGCCCCTCCTGGCTGCACTCTTGCCTCCGGAGCCCTCTGATCCTGTTTGCAGTGATGCTCCGAGGGCAGGCACCTGCTGCTCTGTAATGATTCAGCCCCTTTCAGCCGTCGTCGCGTTAACACAACAGGATGCTGTTGCTATTGTCACTACTGCCTCTCCTGCCGCCGCCGCTGCTGCCGCCGCCGCCACCGCCGCTGGTCCTCCTTCTGCTTTTACTTCTCCTGCATGACAGTTGTTTTCTTCATCTGAGCAGACACCAGCTTCAGATGCTCGAGGTGAGAAACATGCCTTTCAGTTTGGGCTACTGGTTTACTTAATTAACCAGCCGGCAGCTCCGTCGATCTATTTTGGTCCCTGTCCTCTTGACGAGCCCGGGATGGTTTGGAGTAACGTTTAAAAGAACTAGAAAAGTGGCCCAGAAACAGCAGTTTAAAGAATTATAACGATATACTCTGATTTTGTAGTTGCTAGGAGCTTTTCTTCCCCCCTTGCATCTTCCTGAACTCTTCTTGATTTTGATAATGGCCTTGGACTTGGACGATTTATCGATTTCCCCCTGTAAGATGCTGTATCATTTGGTTGGGGGGGCCTCTGCGTGGTAATGGACCGTGAGAGCGGCCAGGCCTTCTTCTGGAGGTGAGCCGATGGAGATTTATTCCCCAGACATGTCTGAGGTCGCCGCCGAGAGGTCCTCTAGCCCCTCCACTCAGCTGAGTGCAGACCCATCTCTTGATGGGCTTCCGGCAGCAGAAGACATGCCAGATCCCCAGACTGAAGATGGGAGAACCCCTGGACTCGTGGGCCTGGCCGTGCCCTGCTGTGTGTGCCTAGAAGCTGAGCGCCTGAGAGGTTGCCTCAACTCAGAGAAAATCTGCATTGTCCCCATCCTGGCTTGCCTGGTCAGCCTCTGCCTCTGCATTGCCGGACTCAAGTGGGTATTCGTGGACAAGATCTTTGAGTATGACTCTCCTACTCACCTTGACCCTGGGGGATTAGGCCAGGACCCTATTATTTCTCTGGACCCAACTGCTGCCTCAGCTGTGTGGGTGTCGTCTGAGGCATATACTTCACCTGTCTCTAGGGCTCAATCTGAAAGCAAGGTTCAAGTTACAGTGCAAGGTGACAAGGCTCTTGTCTCCTTTGAACCATCAGCGGCACCGACACCGAAGAATCGTATTTTTGCCTTTTCTTTCTTGCCGTCCACTGCACCATCCTTCCCTTCACCCACCCGGAACCCTGAGGTGAGAACGCCCAAGTCAGCAACTCAGCCACAAACAACAGAAACTAATCTCCAAACTGCTCCTAAACTTTGTAAGTAAGAGAGAGAGAGAGAGAGAGAGAGATGATGATGATGATGATGATGATGATGATGAAGAAGAATAAAGGAAAGGGGTGGGTTTGAGGTCCCCAAAGGATGTTTCCCTTTCTTCTTGCATTTTAGTTGCCTGGTTTTGTTTAAGCAAAGCATGTGTTTGAGACACTTGGGCTGGCATTGAAGGGCTGAGTAAAATGATCTTGCAAACTCCGGGTCTGAACCAGTGTTGTGAACAGCAGCTCTCTCTAGCCACATTGTTCAGTCTGGTACCGGGAATGCAAAACTTCAGCATCTGCAAGTCATGCTTGAATTTAAGTTAAATTCATTTATTTCTAACACATTTTAAAATTGAAACATCAGGCCATCTTTTCATGTTTTATAGAAATGTGACTTTCATATACCAGTATTATTTTGTGTCTTTCTCTTCCCCATCATAGATTTCCTGTCACCTTTCTGTTACCCTCTACCTCTCAGCAACCCCAAGCTGCTTGTTGTCTTTCTCTCCCTTCTTCCTGTTCTCTAACCACCTCTCCCTACTTTTGTATCTTAATTGGTTCTTTCTGAGATTGCAGCAAGTCTTAAGACATTTACGGTGCTCGCCTCTCACTAGCTTGAGATGACTACTGTCCTGCCCAGACTGTACTTTCAGTTAGTGAGCACTTAGTAACAGCAGCTTTATTTTGTCCAGGACACAGTAGGATTCTGCATGAAGGATTTGCCCAAATTAGTTTTGTCTTCTACAATCAAATGTTTAAATAGCTTCCTTGGCAGTCATTAAAAAGTACAAGATCCATTAGTGAGGTACATCTTTTTTTTTTTTTCTTTTTAAGGCATGTGTCATCTTAGTCTGGCAGATTGCAGCAGCCCAGTTTAATAACCTGTGATGTGAAGAGAGCCCACGCTCTTAAAAACAATACATTTCTGTTTGCATTTGCATTGGGTAACTGCAATAGCTTTAGAGTGGAAAGTTGACAGGAATGAAAGCATGACTGTTCTAAACATCAATATAGAAGGGAGGAGTTTTCTATAGCCTTTTAAAAATGTTTCTAGTTTATTTTTGTTGTCTCTATCTCCTATCACTTTTTACCATGAGGAATATTTACTTAGTAGGAAAGTACAAGATCAGAAAATTTGGTTCTTAATAACTTACATGAAAGCTCTTAGGGTTAAAAGAGAGTTGACAATTTCTCTGACGAAATGCCTCTTTTGTTTTTCCTCTGGACAGTAATGAAGAATAAAGAGTACCTTTTCCAGACATCACGTTCAATGTGAAGTAGTGCAGCATGCTATAGAAACACAGAAAAACTTGATTTGTGCTTGTAACTCCTGATCATTTCACGCACACCAGATTCAATGGCAAAGATTTAAAGAAAAAAAAAAGAGTCTTGTTTTCTAGGTGCAATTAGGGAAAACCTCCTTCATGCAGACACTGCTTTGTATCTTTATCAAATCCCTGAAGCATCATTAAAGGTCTGACAGACATCACCGCCTTTGCTGCCTCTTCCCACCTGGCAAAGTGACCGGGAAATAATACCCAGATGAAATGACATGCTATAAAAAGCAAGTACAGATCCTGCAAAGAGAAGCGAAATTCACCAGGAGAACAAGGTTACTTGATCATTTTAAACTTAAGTCTTTAATTGAAATCTGCTTAAACAGGTTTCATTGTCCAGAGAAAGAAAAAAATGCCCTTTGAAAAACACTTCAACTAAATTCTGTAATTTTGTCATCTGAGGAAATCGAGAAAACAAAGAAACATCTAGCACATTTTCCTGATCTAAGACCATGTCAGAAAGTATGTTGTAAAGTTTTGATAAATTATTTTGTAAAGTAAATTTTTCTACTAAGTGTTTTAGTAGATTACATATTCCTTATCATTTTTTTTTTCCAAGCCAGGGCATTGATATTGTGGCATCTGCAATAAATGGGAAAGATTTACTGCTGCCTAAAAGCATCATTGTGGCCAGTTTGACCAGATGCACAGCTGCAACGTTTTGAAGCGCATCGGAGATAAGCCTAGAGAAGCAGTCTGGGAAGTAGTTTTCTCCTGAAAAGTTAGGGGTAGACAGTTAGTTGGCTAACACTTTAAAACCTGTAGGGAGACTCTGTTAATTTTTTGGACTAGTCCCTTAAAAAAAAAAAAAAAAATCAAGTCTTGTATTCTAAAAATTGCGAGCCTACTTTTTCTGGGGCGGGGGGTCGGCGGGGGGGGGGTATTGATTGGGGGGAGTAGTGTTTGAAAGGGATTGGTCCAGGCAGCTTTGTTTCTAGAGACTTGTAAGTGGTTGTTTTTGTTGTTGTTTAAAAAGGTTGTAACCATTAATTAATGGAAAGGGGAAAAAAAAGCTTACAAAGGGATTGTATTTTTCAACTAAGAAAGTATTGTTTAGTCGCAGAAAGAACTGGGACGTTCCTTTTACCGTGCATGTTTTTGACATAAACTAAGCTGTCATGGCTTATATTTGAAAATGACATTATCATATGTGAAACATGCTCTTCAGTGGTTTTAGGACTTTATTCTCCCTTTTCCTTTTTTTTTTTTTTTTTTTTCTCAGCATATTCAGCACATTATGCACAGAGCTGTAGCCTTCAAGGTCATAGACTGTTGAGGGCTAATTGATTCTTCTTTATCCTGGAGCCTGAGAGAGTAGAAGAGAGACAATCCCAGCAATTGTGTCTGCAGCGTTGCTCCCCAAACCAATCTACCTACTAGTATTAAAGTTTTATTTTATAAATACTGGAATTACTCCCTCACTGACTCTTGTCAAATTACAACATTCTTTGTCTTTGTTATAATATAAGGCAAAATATGACATTTTAAATTGCCTTAAGGTATAGTGGCTATGTCGGATTTTCTAAAATGGGTATTTCTTTCATAAAGTAATATTTCATATTTTCATGATATTAATCTATGCATTCATGTAGGTCTTAAGAAGTCCAATGAAGAATTGGAATGAAAGTATATAATTATATATTTTTTATTCTAAAGTATTTCTAAGTATGGTTAATGGTTTCCCACTACCACAATGATTATATTGTCATGATACTAATTAAGTTTTTACTTCTCAGTGGGTTATGTAATACTTGCACTATTCATTTGTTTTCTTTGCCTGGGCTTTAAAATTTTTCCTACCCTGACTGTTGGGAGATTGCAAACTTAGATTATTATAAAAAGAGCTGATTAATTACATTGTAGCCAGGAAATAGTGGTACCATCTTGAAAGAAAATGTTTTCTGGATGTGAGATCCTCCCTGCTTGACAACAGATTCTTGGATGCAAGAATGTGTTGGTATTTTCATCTTGGGCCAACTTTGTTTTGCTTTGTCCTAAGTCTTATTATGGGATTGTATGACAAACCATTGTTACCGCATGACAGTAAGAATCAGTAACCATTTGCAAAAGATCAACATGATGAATTGGATATACCATAGGATTTCTTTCCTTCTATTTAAAAATGCCATTCATTTAAATTCTAATGGATCCTTCTAGTTCTTGGCAACTATATTTGTAGGTATTTCAGAAGAGTGATTTCAAATAACTTTTCCCCACTTTAATCGTTGCCAATTACAGCCTAAAATATTAAAAACTGGTAGAGACTGAAAGATTTTCTTTTGGAACTGAATAATTTTATAAATTTACCGGTGAAGAAACCCAGGCTCAGAAATGCCTAGTGAAATTCTTTTATTAAAATATACTAAACTCTGAAAAATGTGGCAAAATCCAAACTTTTAGATTGTCTCTGTCTCTGAGAATTTAAACTCTCTCTCTCTCTCTCTCTCTCTCTCTCTCTCTCTCTCTCTCTACTGTTTTCTTCTCTCATCATATCCTTATTGTAGAGAGTTGGAGCTAGAGACTAACATAGCATCAGACTGAGAATTAGGGAAGTACTTAAAGTGGGAACACTGTTTAGGCGTGTGTTTAGTGCGTATCACTACAACTAAATTTTCTTCTCGCCTTCCTGTTTTGCTCTTATTGAATTTTCAGTCATGGTGGTCTTTTCCCTTTTTATTTGATCATCCATACAGTGTTCAGCTTGCTTCTGAAAACAGCATGGGTTGCCTAGGGTGAGTTCTTCCCTCATATATAGGAGATTGCTCTGTGGCTCACTTCTTTTCTTCATAGCCCATTTTGTTTTCTCCTCTCTATTCGTTTGTGATACCCAACTCAGTCTTCTTCTCCCCTTTCCTTCCTACCTTCCCAATTACATATTGACTCGTTTTTATTTTTGTAATTATGCCATTTTGGCTTGATGGGTCAATATTTCATTGCATCATATCAAAATAATTTCAACTGTCTTTATTTAAACTTTAACCTTATTTATTGCATTTTAATGCTGAATGGTACTTTCATATATTATAAACATACAAAAAAAATCTCTAGCCAGTGACCAATATACCAGTTTCTTAATGGCATAATTAAATCAAATTTTAACCTTCTTCTTGATCTTTTCGTCTTTTTTTTCTTTTTTTTTTTTTTTTTTTTTGGGATATGACCTTTATTGAGCTTATCCACCAGAGTGGAAATAATGTCTGTACAAAACCAAATGTTTGTTACTATAACTTCTGCATCACAATTAAAATCCAAACAGTTTTTTAAAAACAGTCAACTCTTTTTTTCTTTAGTGTGCTTGATTGATTCCAGTTTTTCTGGTTTTGCACATCAGCATTTCTGTACTCCCAGAAAATGATGTTCAAACCATCCATCTGTGTTCTTCCTCCTTCCTTCTTCCTTTTAACAACTCTTCATAGTATCCTTTTAAAGCATGAAGGAAGAGATATTTTATAGATTGAAAAACCAAAGCATAAAAAGTTATGACTTGTTTAGATGCCCCTGAGAACCAGGAATATAACTTGTCCACAGAGTTCATTGAACATTCTAGTACAGCATAAACTACATTCCATCTACTTTTATGCCCATGTTTCTGCTTTTGTTACTTTTGCTCTAAATCAATGCTTTATTTTTCTTCTGTTATTTCCTCTTTGTTTTGTTTTGTTT